CATGAAGCGTATCTCAAGTCCCTTGGTGCTACTCACGTATTCGACAGACACCTGTCTGCTGGCGATCTCAAGGCTGCTGTCAGCAAAGTTACAAGCAGTCCGATTAATTATGTGTATGATGCCATCTCTGTGCCTGAGACACAGCAGATTGGATGGTCGCTTCTTGGTCCTAAAGGATTCCTGGTTTTGACACTTCCGGCCTCAGTCAAAGAAGAGGAAGGAAAGGAACGCAAAGCGATTCAGACGTTTGGAAGCCCACATGCGAAGGAAAATCAGTCGCTTTGTAGCGGATCGTGGGCCACACTTTCAAAGTGGCTCGAGGACGGAACCATCAAGGTAAGGGTATCCGGCGTAACTCAGTCTCACTACCGTTGACCTATCTGTCCCTATAGCCAAATAAGTACGAAGTTCTTCCGAATGGGCTTGAAGGTATTATCGAGGGATTGGAACGAATGAAGAAGGGGCAAGTGAGCGGGAAAAAGCTGGTTGCCCACCCGCAAGACACGAAGTGATTCAGAGGACAAAGGAGTTGATGAGGAAGTTAGCTATGCGAGTGTCGAGGAAGGGTTTCATGTTTATATTGAAGCACCGCTGTATCTGTAAAGCCAATATGGCACGTAGTAAAATCAAAACCTGTGATCCATTCGAGCAGTACAAGAGCAGAAGGAACGACTGTCTTCCTTTTGTTATGGTCTGACTAGGGGAGACTACCAGTACAAGCGATGGACCTCTGTGTCTAATTATAAGTAGTCTAATTACGGCGTCTACGGTTATGCTGTACTAAGTACGTCAAAGCGGCTTTAGTGACAATGCGCAAAATGAATTGATCGGGAAACAATTGCGGATCGTCTCCCTGGAAAGTTGGCCGTGTACAGATACTATCGATATCATGACTGTTGGTTATTCCTTCTTTCAAGGTAGACAGGTCTGGCCATTGCGGACTTTGGGTGGAAAGACCCTTGAACGTTTGAACCGTGAACTTGGTTAACTTCTTATCGCCGACCAAGTGGCAGCCAATTGCAACTTGAACTCTTTACCCCTGCCTACTCCTGCTTGTTCTTTCTAAACTCGTGACATTTGACTACGATTTTACATAATTGACTGAAGTACTTGCAGTAATGCCAGCCTGGCCTCTTACCTGCTGCCCGACAGCAACTTCTCCGGTTCCTTCCGCCTGGGAAGGGTCTGGATTCCGGATACCCTCTCTGCACGTAATGCCTGGTCGGGTCCTCGTGCCAATTGTGTTTATCAGCCAGCCAATGGTACAAATCGTGGTTTCTAGCCTTGAGTATTGTGTGTGCTCGCTTACCGTGGTCTGTGAACGCTTTCTCAACTGATAATGCCAGGACCGTTTGAGACTCTCTGCATCTCAGAAATCCTCGCAGTCATTCTTGATGCATTACAAGATGACAAGAAGTCGTTGTACCACATGTCTTGCTGTTGTCGCGCATTCGCAGATCCTGCCCTTGATATCCTCTGGAGATCTATGCACTCCTTTTCGCCATTCGCTTCGTTGATTCCACAAAGCGCGTCATTTGTGACTGTAAGTGACTTTGCTTCAATTCTACCGCTGAAGCCAATCCTCGTTATGTTCGCAGGACGCCCAGACGGGTGATCGCGACATCCTGAAGTATCGCTGCAATTCATTGGGCGACTGGAAAACGTTCGACAAATACGCTGCACGAGTCCGGAGTTTGCACGTAGGGGAACACAACAATGATAATGCGGACGTCATAGAACACCGGAATTACTACACGCGTCTCACAGTTCTTCGCGGACAGGATGGGTTTCATCCTTTCCCAAAACTAAGAAGTCTGGCCTATATCCTCTCCGGGCCAATTGCCCCGCAAGCTAAACCATTTCCACCCTCCCTGCGATCTCTTACTCTCATATGTCACAACACACTTGATTGTGACCCCATTGAATTGGTACTTGACCGAGCTGTTGCTGACGCCCCGCATATAGAGGAACTGCATATTACTGGCCTCATGCGGACGAAACAAGTGTTGCACTCGACACCTCGACTGCACTTCGGGCACATCGGGAGCGTTGATCTAAGCAAAGCCTACATTCGTGCCCCCGAGCTTGCAGCTCTCTGCACGCTGTTATCCCAGGCTCCTATTTCAGACCTCAAAATCCACCTCCAAGATCGCTTAAACATGAATTGGCAAACCATTCCTCCGATGTTCCCTGCCTTGAAACACTTGGATGTCCGGGGATCAATGTTTTCCGCCATCCTCTTCTTATCACGCCTTGCAGCAACGCATCTGCACACGCTAGTGTTTCAGCCAGACGGGCAACCTTCTAGTGTCACTTCCGTCTATGATTACCTTATGCTTATTCTCGCCGAGAGGCTCGGAAAGTCGCTGAAATCATTTGAATTTCATGTCAAAGAACCTAGACCTCACGCCCGGGACAGCGACCTCATCAAGAGTATTTTGCAGGGGCTTAAACCTCTTGCGGAGGCAGGCTTGCAGTCTATGCGCCTGTTTTTGCACCTGAACTCCACGATGTCGGTGCAGTTCCCTCCGGAAGTGCGGTCCATGCTTGAGCCCTGTGCCTGGCCTTCTCTAAACCAATTTTACTTTGCGACAAAGGGGGTCGCCTTGGAATAAAGATACACTCTGACACGCAGTTTTTCTACTTGGTACTAAGCTTATGGGTAGTTCAGTTTATTTATTACCATAGAGTCTTTCAGTCCTTATTCCATCTACTTTGGTAGTTTCCTTTGTGGCACACTGTTTTATTTTTTATTTTCCCAGTAGATTTCAAGATTTTAGAAGCTTAAGAGGGCTGGCCAACTTACGTGCTTAAACTGGCCTCGTTGATTTGTTTTGGACCATCCTCGAACTGCCTATCTATACGTTACATAAGTACTTGAGTTCCGGTATTTGAAACTCCGAAAGTGACGCTCTTGGTGATATGGTTAAGATCATGTTTGAATCCAGGCTCCTTCCCACCACTGGTTCGAGTGTGGAGGGGCGGATTGCGAGTAAGGTAGATACAACTCACGTGCTACAACAAAAATTCAAACCCAGCCCAACTTTAATTCCCCTCACACTCTCACCAGCGGCTGGAAGATAACATTTGTCAACATCGTCAGCCACCGTGGCTAACGAAGCGGAATATGAATTTTATTCACTAAGACTGAACGTAGGGTTAGGTACACTGCAATATATGTTAAGTATTTCCTCACCGGTTAGCTTCTGTGCTTACACTATGTCAATGCAGCGTGCAGTAGAACGAAGCAGACCAACATGAGTTGTGTAGCGCTGCGATTATCAGCATTGTAAGTATAATTGTCGGCTCTTGTTGAAGTAATTGAATTAAACACGATCCGCATAACTATTCAGTGCGTACTTAATTTTTCTTACCCCAATCTTGATGTTCGGATGGTCCGTTGAACGACGGATGAAGGTCATCCTGTCGGCGTGCATGTGCAAAAGTTGGATCGCATTCGAAAGCGAGTGTTTCGTGAGTGTTGCCGATGCAAGCATGATGGGAACTACTGTGATGTACCGCCAAATGAATCACAACATTACAAATTGGCTTCGCAATACGCAACAACTTTTCATATCATTGTCTAAGTATGTTGGAGACATTAGATGTACTTGTACAGACAATCTCTGCAATTTTTTTTTTCAAAAATACACCGTTGTTCGCGTTGTGTAGCGAAAACAGTGAACAGGTACATTAAGTGGCCAGTACCGCCAAATGAATCACGTGTATGCTTACTACAAATCAGGCATTGAAGCTTACCAAACACTACACTTTGGATCTTACAGTTGCCGAGTCACACATACATTCCAACCATTTCACTCACCAGAGTTGCTACACTTCATGAATTTCGATAAATCTCAATGTAATAGATACCTAGAAGGTACTCCTATATATTCCAGCTATCTTTGAAGAGTTTTCGAATGTCAATGCTGCACCCTTCGAGGCATAATTTTCAAATTGCCCAAAATGGGGTGTGTCATCAGTGGTAATTGAGACATATCATAATTTTTTCTCGTTCAATGTCAGTCAAAATTCATGCAGGTGATAATGCATGTATGCAGGAGTATGTAATAGTGCTTTGCTAGTCATAAGGTTGTGTTGTGTTGGTGTTATGCATGAAGTGATTCATTTGATGGTACTGATTCAAATGGCGGTACATCACAGTATTGACAGCAGAATGTATCGAAGTCATTCGAGTTCTCTGTACTCAGGATGAAAGTCTCCCCAATCGGTAAGACAGTGCGCCTCGTCAATTACAATGCTAATAAGCCGTGACACAAACAGCACGTTTTTCAGTAGTTTCTCAAATGAACTGTCTGGTTTCATTATTTGCTCGGGACTGACGGCAATTGCACGATACTTCAGCGCCGCGATGGCCTGTGTGAGTGATAGGTAAGATGATGTTGATACTTGCCGCATTATAGCACAGCACTCACCAAGAAGATCGTAGGTGTAGCGGTCTCGCCATCAATGGATATTCCACGTATGCCAGCCTTGGCCAGCGATGCAACATTTTGCTTGCCTAGCATATTAAGAGGGGTAATAATAATTTGAATGCCGCCATCACGGAACAGCAAAGGCAACCAGAATCCAAGTGTTTTGCCCATTCCAGTGCCTGCCGTGCAAATGACATCCCGGTCCCCTTTGAGCAAAGCCTGGGCAACTTTCAGCTGCCATAAACAAGGCTTAACACCAAATTTTTCGAGAGTGCGTGACCGAATGTCGGCCAATGATGGTATCTGCTGACTGCCAGAAGGATCTTGATTAGGAGAAGGTGCGAGTGCGGCCATTTGATTGTCGCTAGCCTATGACTCGGATCATAACCGGCGAGGTTGTACTCAATAAAAATACTCGACATATATTGCAGTGTATCTAACCCTATGTTCAGTCTTAGAGCCCGTTCAGCAACCGAAATTTGAACGAAATTTGCCAACCCAAAGTATTGGAAGTGTCTGAGATGTAAGCGGAGTCAGAAACCAATCGGTAAGATTGATCGTTATTGATATGTTATCACAGTATAACATGGATCCAGTACTCACTATGCAGCCGCTGTTGAATCAGCCGCTGTTTGCTGACCCAATACTTGCTAACAGTCTTATTCCACAGGGACCTCTCATTACTGCTCAGCTGCTGCCAGGAGCTCGACAAGCAGATCAGAGTCGCCAGGCGCGAGCCGCAGTCCGTGAACACATGCTTCGTTACATCACTCTTCTCGTCAATATACTGCTCGCCGCCATAACACAAGTCTTCCTGCAACAAATCCCGGACGAGCCTGAGCCCTATCACACCTCCGCGCTGACAGGGGAAGAGTGGGTGATAGAGCTGATTGTTGGCCACCCAGAGCGCATTTGCTGCGAACTTGGCGTAAATGCCCACGTCTTTGAGAGTTTGATCAATGACCTTCGAGGCCTTGGCCATACGGATTCACGATACGTCTCGCTAGA